CTCTCTCACATACACACACTAATTCATACTTCACTCACAGAAGAGGTAACCAAGAAGAATTCAACGCCATTAAATAATAATATCATTAAGTGTAATTATTTTCTGGAAGAAACATGTTCTGATTTAAATTTAAAGTAGGAAATCATTCACAATGAAGAGTGGGCCACGGAGGCACAGAGGGAAAAATCATTAATAAATATTTAGAACATTAGAAAGAGATGATCTTAGTCTCATACGGGCACTGAGAAATACATAAATATCACTTAGTTGGGCAGATATATCTATCAAATAAGAGCAGTGGGAAGTCACGCAATATGAAGCAATCAAAATGATCCATATAATGGATAAATTCAAGTAAGGAATATAACATTGAAATCATTTAAAGTTCATTAACGCTGTAGAGATTTGGAGAGGAACAATAGGTTTGCAAATCACTAAAGTTCTTGGCTTCATACACTTGACTAAATGAATGAAGGCAGCTTCAGGAAGGCATAATAAATACTTCAATGACATGGAGTTAAGTCCATCGAGAAACTTTCATGATATCAGGCAAATTCTAGAAAATCCCTTACCCCACATCATCTTTTCACCTTCATACTTCAGCCAAAGGGCAACTAGCAGTTAATGGTTCTTGAGTGTATTACTAACAACTCCCTAAGCAAAATAGACACACCCAAGAAAGTGACTCAGGGAGGAGCCAGTAAGACCTAACTCAGCAGAGCACAGAGAACACCTCGGGAGTGACTCTGTCCTAATTCTCACTCCGCTTCTGCTGATGTGTCACCCTGCTTCTCAGTTTCACAAGCGTAAGATTCACATCTCCCAGAAGGAGCTAGTCTAGAGTTAGGAAAGAGACTCCAGCAACATTCTTGCTCAACACTTACCTATTTAAAAGTATCGAAAGTCAAAAATTATTTCACTTTCAAGGATGTCTGTCACCAAACGGCTGAAAGAAATTACCCTAACGAAAGATGACTTTTGTGAATAATTAAAGAGGATACTTTCATAGGAAGTATTCATAATAATTAGGAATGATGCATATATCATCTTGGGAACCTTTCTTGAGAGACAAATAATTACCAGGGAAGTGTTGCTAGATGCTATCAGACTTCTTAAAGTTGACCTTGCAAATGTAATTATGTCAAACACGTAGAAAATCATAGAAAGGGGACAGAAAAATAAATAAGTTCATAAGAAGGACCCTTTGAGGGCAAAAGTAAAATGTTATCTGTAGTTACATTTTTACAAAAGAAAATTTCCAAATCACAGAATGAACCATTTTTAAATTTGTTTATAGACAAAAGAAAATTTTAAACATTTATAAGTGACAACTGATAAAATTTAATAAACATTAAATTTTTTAAATGATAAAAATATTATATTCTGCTCATAGGATCAGAGATTCAAAATGAGAGATAGAGGAGAAAAGCGCCTGCCATAGAGGCAGTGGGAGAGGGAAGGAGGGTAACTGGGGACATAAGTGGTAGAAATGTACACTGGTAAAGGGTTGAGTGCTGGAATATGGTAGGAGTTAAATCCAGACATGAATAAATTTGTAACTGTGTATATTATGGTGTTTCCATTAAAAATACATATATTTTAAAAATAAAGATAGTATTACTTAAAAGAATATGTGCATATATGCAAATTGGTAAAATATTGAATATGCTAAAGATAAATAAGTTATAACATATTTTGGGGCAAAGGGGCCCCCTCTAGTGGGATTGTGGTGATAAGGATCAAATCCCAGCGAGTTTCCCTCAAGGCAAGTGCTTAAACACTGTGCTCTCCTCTCAGCCCCATAGTTTCATTTTTATTTCCTTTCTTACTGCAAGGCTAACTTGGTAGTTAAGATCAGACTTAAAATGTTTGGATCAATATAAGAAAATTGCTTTTGGATTTTTTCATTATTTTAAGATTTTTTTCCCATAATATGACATTTATTTTCATAAGTATTTTATCTCAATCGCAAATAGAACAGTGAACTGGATTTAAATACTTCTCTGAGATTACTGCATAAGTCTTGCCTTGCTGGTTTCTATCCCTAGAGATTTTGCTGTCTGCCTATCTCCAGGGTTTTGCAGCAATGATGATCAAAATAGTGTCCCTAACAAGTGCAAGAAATCTCATTCTACCCATCAAAACACACACTATTCTCAAACTTTATAAAGCATGATCTTCATAACTGCCATTTAGATTCAGCCATTAAAAAAGTCTGCTGGAGCAATAGCACAGCAGGTAGGGTGTTTGCCCTGCACGCGGCCAACCTGGGTTCAATTCCTCCCTCCCCCTTGGAGAGTCCAGCAAGCTACCGAGAGTATCCTGCCCACACGGCAGAGCCTGACAAGCTACCCGTGGCATATCTGATATGCCAAGAACAGTAACAACAAGTCTCACAATGGAGAAGTTACTGGTGCCTACTCGAGCAAATCGATGAATGACGGGAGGACAGTGACAGTGCTACAATCCTGAGAAGATATTTCAAAACAGCTTATTCAGATGCTTCATAGATTTCCATAGATTCTAATGTATTTTCAGGGATGTAACTTACCTATTGATTAAATGAAAGTTAAAAAAATGATGATTAATCTTTAAAAAGCAATGTATTCAAACCAGTTTTAATTTCAAAATAAGATTGCTCATTTTATCTTAATGTTTTTCTTTTTGTAATCTTAATTTTAGCTCATTTTCCCTACTTATGGGATATTCTAAGACCTTTTTTTATAATGAAGCAAATTATTTTCTCTGGAGTACTTGATTCTTCAAAATTCTTTAAACAGATAAGTAAGTAACTCATGCAGACATTTCCGAAAGAACTGAAAAAAATATATCCCATGCACATATAACCTATTTAATTTCAATATCTATTACATCTGAGTAGAAATAAAGATCATCAATGTTGAAGGGAAATAAATATATCTCTGATTTATAGAGCCCCAATAGATGCATCTGGTTTATATACTACTGCAATATACTCAGTGTACAGGATTGAATACTTTTTTCAATTTAGCCTAGATATATGTGTATTATATACATTTCTTTTTATTTTATGACACACTGACTTTGTGGGGAAAAAAGTAGAACATTTCATTATTTGTTTAGAGTATAGATTTCAAGTTCATCTCTTTGTTACATGTGGGAGTTCCCAGCAGACAACAATGAGGCCAAAATATTACTCGAACTGACTCACTAAATACATAGCTGACACATTAAAGAGAAAAATATATCAAACAATCATAACTAAAGTTCAGTTTCCAGTGACTACTTGTCTCAGAACTTACAAAATCGATTGAACTTCATTTTACATCACAGAGATTTCAATACTTTATAGCAACGTATCTTAAGTTTGTCTGACTTTATTTTATCCTGTGACCCCATTTCCAACTGGCAACCTGTCCTGTGGTTCCCCCCCATTTACATTTTCACCTATTTACATTTCACCTGTGGTCCTGTGGCATATCCTGGGAGCCAAATGGTCCCCCACTGAGAAATTTTGCCTTGGTGAAAAGAAGTAGGACATAGGCTGATAGCTTCATAAATTCTACTTATAATATTAATCTTTATTGGTATAGTCCATATTTTTCAGTTTAAACTCTGACTCAAAACATTTTTATATCCCCAAATTGACACAGGTTAGTATTTAATAGTTGTTATCTGCTTTCACAAGAATATTTTTGTTGTTACTTTACAAAATAAAATTATATACACTAGTTCATAAATACAGGTTAGTATCATTTTCACTGTTCAGTTCTGAAAACTGTACTGAGTTTAGTTAATCAAATAAGTGTTAAATTACCCTCTATGTACTTGTTTTTTATAGTTCTTTTTCTTTTTTTTAACAATTGGAATATATCAGTATTTTCTCTCATGATATTCTGCTAACACAATTAACATGGCTCAGAAGTCAGGTTTATTATCGCTCAAAAAAATTTAGACCAAAAAAAGGAGAAAAAAAGCCTTCCTTCTACAAAACCAATATTTGACATTAGCTTCAGAATACTCTGTCTCCATCCTATTCATGATTGCAAGCTTCTAGTTGCCTAACTCACAAACGACAATGTCACCTTGAATTTCAAGGTTCTTCCTTATCTGTATTTCATAAAAGTAGGCTTTTTCAAGCATCCCCTGTCTTGCTGACATGGAAGAAAGCAACTATATATACATCCTAAAGGTTTTATTATATCTAAATTATTTTTAACATGTAGTGTCATTGGTAAAGAAATAGATGCTTTATGATCAAAATGTCCTAACTTTGGCCCATACGTTTTCCACGCTTTTGCTTGAGCTCAATAAACAGTGCAGAAACTATGTTATCTCTAAGCTGACAATTGTGCTGCTCAGTGCAGAGAACACTCTCCATACATTTTATTTGATTTATTAAAAGAAAGTTTCTACAGTTTTATCTCAGTTCAAAAATAGGATTGCTGAGATTTATAAACCAACATAAATATTTAATAAAGAAATCTAAGGTCCTAAAATGCTAAGTACTTCAGGACCTTACCTTAGAATATTATATCATAATGCTTCACTTGGTACTATTTCCAAACAACTCATGAAATAAATAAGCGAGTCTATGGTCTACTTAATAACATAAATTACCTCCAGAGCTAGAAGATGCTGCTATTGTAAACAAAAAATGAAGAAAGACAATTTCTTCAGATTTATCAACAACATATTTCCTTCCAGAGATAAAGGGATATATGTGTTTTGGGCTTTTAAATCTGCCAAGTCAGCTCATTCCTAATCTATACACATTTTAACATCATTGGCTTCTTGGCATATGTGTATATCCACGAAGAGAAGGAAAGTTCCACCCACAATATTCCTTCAGATATATGTAAGACTTGTGAAATATAACCCTCCTGTATACTCCTACGAATCTTTCCTGAAAAATACGGGCATGGCACATACATCTATATTTTTTAAATTACACATATATCTCTGATGTTCGTAATTTTCTACGTCTTAAATTTTTTCATTAGAAATAGAATTATCGTTACCTTCCTTGCTTCTTTTATCATCTTCCGAATAGTTTCTTTTATTGTAAGTAGTTGTGCTCTTGGAGGATGAAATAGAAGTTCTACCTGAGTACTTCCTAACATTCCAGGCAATACGTACGGCCAGCCTAAGTCGAGATTTGGCGCTTCCACATCAGATTCAATGGGCCAGTAAGTCCCTGAAGATGAGGCATCATCGCAGGAATTCTCAGTGCCATGTGCTGTACTTTGTGGAGCTTTCTGGATATTTTTCGAAATGTATTTTTTTTCTTTCTCAGCTAGAAAATCTGAAACTCCTTCCTTGGCAAGGAATTCTTGATATGCTTCTAAGCCATGTTCGATTAGTGTATCAATAGCTACTCGATACCATTCCTTGTAGTGAGGCTCAATGTAATTGTCAGATTTGTGTTCATCATTCAACGAGGATAGCAATGATGAGGTCTCCATGATTTCAAACGGTACTTCTTTTTTTAACAGCACTTTCAAAAGTCCATCCAGGCAGTCGAGAGAGTATCTGGGTATTTGAAAAGAAGAAATTACATCAGTCAGAATTCTGTAATTAAAATTAATGTTTTATGATGGTTGGCAACTATCAGCTTTATGTTTATTCATTTTCATTCTCATTACCTCAATATGTAATGCATCTTCTATCCAGAGTGACACAAATCGCACTATAATTCATTTACCCACTAAAAATAAGCTACACTTTTTTTTTCACAGAACTGGTTTTCCTCTCTTGCAGTTTCTGACCTGAGTTTGTTACCTCCCCTGACATCCAGAAAAACCAATCTTCTAAACTTTAATGTGGGACTACATAGATGCTATCAATTTCTGCATGCCTCTTCTTTGGTTTGGTTTTGCTTTGGGTTTAAAATAGAAACAGAAGATAATCAAAGCCTGTCAGCCATTAGTAGACTTCACTGAGTACTTAATATATATATATATATATATATATATATATATATAATCATATATGTATTATCATATATTGATATGAAAAGAATCAAACCCTTGCTTTCAAATAATCTATAAACGAGTCGAAGGGGAAATTGTGTCTACAAATTGCTGCCTCCTTTAGTAAAGTTATTTGTTGCTGAGGGCCAACATAAGTAACTACTTGTATTCAAAAATCTTTCAGAATACAAACAAGTAGAGGTCAGTCTGAAACCAATGGGCAATATAGAGTGCCCTTTTCAGAATATGGACTTCAGGTAAACCTAAGAAATGAGTAGGAATAAAATCAGAGGGCAGAGAATTTTCTCACATTGTACAAGAATAAAAACCACAAGCAAAAAAAAAAAAAAAAAACCACAGAACAGACATGAGTTTGGTATCTTAGGAACTTATGTTAAAATAAAAAGATAGGTCTGTTTGGATCTATGTTCCCTTTACTAGGAATAAAGGTAAAGGTAAAGGCCCTCCCGTTGTTCATCGATTTGCTCGAGCGGGCCCAGTAACGTCTCCATTGGAGACTTTGTTGTTACTGTGTCTGGCATATCGAATACTCTCGGTAGCTTGCCAGGCTTTGCCGTGCCGGGTGAGATACTCTTGGTAGCTTGCCGGGCTCTCCGAGAGGGGCGGAGGAATCGAACTCGGGTCGGCCGTGTTGGCTGCATGCAAGGCAAATGCCCTACCGCTGTGCTATCGCTCTAGCCCTCGGAATAGGACAAAAAATTGAAAACACGGGGGTAGATGTACAGGATAGCTTTGTTTCAGCAAAATTTGAGGTTCAAAGAGTTATAGCAGCCAAAGAAGAGGAATGGAGTCTCCCAGCATTCAAACCCAGAGTGAAAAGGTAACAAGAACTTCCAGGAGATGGTTGAAAGCAAGAACTCCTAAGGTGTGACAGCCTGGCAATTACTGATGGTGAAGAAACGTAAGACATCAAGGATAATTCAGGAATTTCTCTTGGAACAGAAATCTTATCAGAGCTCACATTTCATCCCTCATAATGGTCACAAAATGGTACTCACTGAACATTCACCGAGTAAGATACTGAACTGGACTTAATATAAATCAAACCCTGAACTGGACTTAGTATAAATCAAACCCTTAGGGGCTCTTCAGACTTTTGAAGTTACAGACTTCATTGTGTAATTCAAACATTACCTCTGTGATATACTACAAGCACTGAAGGGCTGATTCAACCAGAAACAACTTGCCCTGCTCTCATTATAAATTTCCATTTTGTTCAGGCTTTCAGTCAGAAACCTGGCAAAATTTCATTTCATTCTGGCTTTCAGCCTTAAACCTATTTAGAGGATAGTATAGGATGACAAAATAATGTATTAATCTCTTAGTTAAAAATATATAATGGAACCACTACCCATCTAGAAAAGTTAGGGAGATGTAGACAATAGGTCTGTAAGTGTTCACCTTGGGGTTGGGTGGGGCTAGAGACTGAGTAAGAGGAAGATGAGTAAATATCCAGCACATTCTAAGGCAGAACTGAGCAGTTGACCAGGAGGACGTCACTTTACTGTTGTCATAGCAATGATCTTCCCCCAAACTTGAGGCTCAGGGTTTTTACAAAGAGGAAATCTATTATCAAAAGACTAGAGACTAAAATTGACACAGGAATAATATGTCATTTTATGTCTCCAGGAGAATCCTGTTTAAGTTATAACATGATCTATGCCAGAATCACCCCCGAACCCTAAAGAGTGACCAGTTTCTGTAACGTGGTACCTTACATCTGTGAACAGTTTTCACAAATGCTCCAAATTGTATTACGGTGGAATTTTGCAGAAGCCCTCTATGGGCAGAGAGAGGAACATCAAATTTGTCTTCAAGTGAATCCCGTGGCATGGAGAAACAAAACTCGCTCCTTGTATTACTGACTTTAAATGAACAAAATCAGTTGACATAAGGTTATATCATATAATGCCAGAAATTCACATACATTTCTTAATCATATATCAGGTGCTATTTTTTTCCTAATGGCATTTTATTCGAATATGCCATCCCCAAGGAAAATTGCCCCCCGCCCCTGTATCTGGGAACATTTTTAATGGTTAGTGGGAATAGAAACGTCCAACACATAGTAGGCAGAAATTAGGGATGCTGCTAAAAATACTTCAGAGCAATTACCCACACTAAGTAATCATCTGGATTAAAATGTCAGAAGGCCAAGTAATAAATCATCAAATTGCTCATTCATCTGCATAATAACATACTACTAATTAGCGATTGCTTCCATTTCTTAAACTTTTGTGTTTTGCAAATAATATGCATTTTAAACAGAGAAATACATCTCAATTCAAGGAGATGGCACCAAAGCTGCCTAGTGTATGACCAGGTCAATCCCTGGTACCTGTAACTTGGTGTTGACCATTACATACTACCAGGAAAGACTGCTGAATATATAGAGAGCCAGGAATAAGCCTTGAGAACTGCCGAGTGGCCCAAACACCCTCACCTCAATTAAAAAGAGAAATAATTTTTGCTTGTTATATTTGCTTGACAAGGATTAGCCCCTTTGATTAAAATATATTAGTGAGGTGTGTTTTCCAATTAATTCCAATTTACGATGGGACAAGTAGCCAAGCTTCCCATAAAAATCATCTCTTGTTCGTAATTTTTCAAAACAGTGCAATACTGCTAGTTGCTCCCAAGTTTCTGAATGTGGATTTCTAATTTTAAATTTTACGGATCGATTAAAATTCTGTGTTTTTTAAACTTCGAATTCCTACAGTACGTGATGTTAGATACACATTACCTAGTAATATTTAATAAGAAAACATTGATTTAAAAATTGTACTCATTTCTGAGCTTTTTGCAAACATATACTTTGCAACTACAACATTTTTACTCTACATCCTGAGGTAAACTGAGAAATCTTTAAAATCAAAAGAACTTTGTACACAGGGCCAGAGAGAGCAAGGCAAGGTTCACAGGACCCAAGCACAGCCAGCAGAGGGTCCTGAGCTTGGAGCAGGAATAGCCCTGAGTGCAGTAGGTATTGCTCAAAAAGCAAACCAAAACCCCATACGGAATGCAAACTAAAACCATTAAGACAGATAAAAGTAATTATCAAGGAAAATGCAAAACTAGAAGCCAGAGACAGAGTATCAAGGTGAAGATGCCCGTCTCCATGGAGCCAATCCAGCTCACCCTCATCCTTGGCACTGCAGCAGTGGCCCCTGAGCACAGGGCCAAAGGCTCGGCTCTGAGCTCTTCTGGATATGGTCCAAACCAAGCAAATCATTAAAAACTAAATACAACAGGAGCAAGCATAAATGCATAAATATTGGATTCAATGCATTGAAAATATGTCACAGATATTAATGCAACATAATGCAAAATATGTCACAGGAAAAATGCAACAGATATTAATCTGGAAGATAAAAAAATGCACTTCACATTGTTCTGCTGAGGAGAGTATATCCTAACCACAGCCTAGAGATACTGAGCTAACAAATGAGATGTTCACCGGGAATGATTTTATTTATTTATTTTTTATTAGTGAGACATCATGAGGTACAGTTGTAGACTTACAAATTTTTGTGCTTAGGTTTCAATTATACAATGATGAAATACCCATCCCTCCACCGGTGCCCATTTCCCACCACCACGGATCCCAGTATCCCTCCCACCCCCAATCTCCCCCCATCACACCCTGCCTCTGTGGCAGGGCATTCCCTTTTGTTCTCTCTCTCTTATTGGGCATTGTGGTTTGCAAAAGAGGCAATGGGTGACAATCATGTTTGGTCTATAGTCTACTTTCAGCATGCTTCTCCCATCCTGGGAGGATCCTCCCAACACCTTTATTTGCTGTTCCCTTCTCTATCTGAGCTCCTCCGGGAATGATTTTAAAGGAGTAATTAACAAACACACTTTTAGGACGATCACTGTAAAGGTAGTTACTTAAAGGAGCACAACACTAACAATAAAATAGCATAAGTATTTAGCTTTCACGTACAAAACCAGAGAGTTCATGACAGAATATTTGAGGGATTTTGACAAATTAATTGGGTGATCCTTTCTATCAAATCATTATTTAATTAGGAACCAATAAACATTCATATGAAATATATTCTTGGAACATTTATAATAGCGCTTACAAGTAAAAAAAAGAAAAAAAGAAATGCTGTCACGATGTAAAAGTTGACATACGCCACCAGAATAATCTACTCATTAATTGACTTCTTCCAGAAAATTTGCCTTATTAAATATGGGACTCAAATTCATGTCTCAAAAGCATTACAAATTGCATTTGATATCGAATCTACAGGGTTACTTGTAGGAAGAATTCCAGTGGTTAAATCTGAAAACACAAAAGTTATGAAAAAGGTATAAAAAAATTTCAATTAATGGGCTACTCTCTAAAAGAGTTTAGTGGCTTCATTCATGAAACTGAATATTTCACCAAATGCAATGCAGTAGTTGCACTCTTGGGATTATTACCAAATAAATGAAAAGGTAGCCATTATGCTATTTAGAGGGCA